AATTCAGAGAAAAATAAATTGTCTTTTCGTTACTCTCATTTGCTTAAGTGTCGCAATCATATTTCTAGTTAATAAACAAATAAATTAGTCCTTTGAAATATGGAAAGATTGCATGATTTCAGATAAGTTAAAATAAAATTGTATAACGACGTTGAATTTAATGATCAGATATAATGAAATGTGTGGCGAGATGAAGAGATGAAGAAGAATAAATTAAGAACGTGTAAGTGATAAAAATGAATGATCAAAATTAAAAAAGGAAATTGAAAAACATTCAAAGAATATATTAACTACCACATAATCTTGATGAAAATGAAATACCAGAGCCATGAAAGAATCATAGCTTGAACATCTTGCACTTACACAACCAGCTTAGGTTTGTGAAGAAGAGTTGTTAGTATCTTTGCAGTGCATAGATTATTACATTTTACTCCTCTTGAAACAGGTCGTCTGACTGATTTTGAAAGAAACGTCGGGTGACAATGTATGACCCCACGAAATGTTCCAATGTTAAAAAATTGACTGATGTGAATACGCTTTTATTTTAATGGTGAATCAAATTAATTAGATGGTTATTTTAAAAAAAACTCTAGTTCTCTATACTTCAAAAGCTCAGTGATTTATGTGACTGCTTACTTACTTCATACGCCCGTTTTCTCCAATGCAGCATAGGCCAACGACCAGTTTTCTCCAACCAACACTGTTCTCGGCTTCCCTTCCCAGTTCTGTCCAATGTTTGTTCATTCCTCTCATTTCTTTCTCTGTTTCTCGGCGTAATGTGTTCCTTGGCCTTCCTCTTCTCCTTTTGCCTTGAGGGTTCCAAGTGAGGACTTGGCTTGTGACGCAGTCAGGTGCTTTCGTAGTGTGTGTCCTATCCACTTCCACCGCTTCTTCCTGATTTCCGCCTCCACTGGAATCTGGTTTGTTCTCTCCCACAGTACGTTGTTGCTGATGGTGTCTGGCCAACGAATCCGGAGTATTTTGCGTAGACAACTGTTAATAAACACTTGTATCTTCTGAATGATGGCTTTGGTAGTTCTCCACGTTTCCGCTCCATACAGTAGATCTATCCTGACATTTGTATTGAAAATCCAGATTTTGGTATTGATTGATATTTGTTTGGACTTCCAGATGTTTTTCAACTGTAGAAATACAGCCCTTGCTTTGCTGAATCGCGCCCTCATATCTACATCGGATCCACCTTGATTGTCGATGATGCTACCCAGATATGTAAAGGTGTTAACATCCTCCAGTGCATCTGCATCAAGAGTGATTTGTTTTGTGCATGTTGTGTTGCATCGGAGAATTTTACTTTTTCCTTTATGTATGTTGAGACCTACTGCTGCAGAGGCTGCTGCTACACTGGTCGTCTTCTCTTGCATTTGTTGTGGCAGGTGCTGTAGATGGGCCAGATCATCTGTGAAATCCATATAGTACAGCTGCACCCTGGTTGTCCATTGCATACCGTGCTCCCTGACAGATATTAACGTCTTCGTAACCCAGTTGATCAACAGGAAAAAGAGAATGGGTGAGAGTACACAACTTTGTCTAACACCGGTCTTCATCTCGAACCAGTCTGTCAGCTATCCTCCGTGTACAATTTTGCAGTTTAATGAAGTTGATGTAGAGTGGTGAGTCCCATTCAATTGATTGTTCCACAATGATCCATAATGTAGCAGTTTTGTCAGTACATGATCGGTCCTTACAAAATCCGGCCTATTGATCTCGAAGTTGGGCGTCTACGAAGTCCTTCATTCTATTTAACAATATCCTTTTAAAGACTTTGCCTGGTACTGAAAGAAGAGTGATGCCTCTGTAGTTCTCACACTTGCTGAGATCGCGTTTCCTTTGTATTTTGATGTGGTATCCTTCTTTACAGTCTGATGGTACTTGTTCCTCATCCCAAATCTTCTTGAAGAGGATGTGAAATATTTTCGCAGTCGCTTCTACATCTGCTTTCATTGCCTCTGCTGGAATGTTGTCTGGTCCTGCTGATTTGCCACTCTTGATTTGTCTGATGGCCATACTGATCTCCTCAATCGTAGGTGCGCCGATATAAATTGGGAGGTCCGTGGATACTGCTTCGATTTTGGGTCTTCATTGGAGCTGGTCGACTCAAGAGTTCCTGATAGTGCTCCACCCACCTATTTCGCTGTTCTTCAGTGTTGCTGATTACTTTGCCTTCCTTGCTTTTCACTGATTGTTCTGGTTTACGATATAGCTCCCTGCGAGCTTTTGATGCTCTTCTTCACCTTCCTGTCTGATTCAGTGTATTCAGCTTGTGCCTTAACTTTCTCTGCTCTTGTTCGGCTGACATTGATTGCTGTCCTTTTGTTCCTCATTTCTCCAATTTTTTCATGAGTACCAAGAGAGATCTATTCCTTGTGATGGTAGTTTCTGTGGCCCAGAACTTCCTGACATATTGAAGTGATTGCCTCCTTGATCCTTTTCTAATTGTTCTCCAATGTTGCTTGCTCTCCACTGAGTATATCGTGCAAGGCCTGGAACCTATTGGTAAGGGCTATCTTGGCATTCAGGTCTCCCATAAGAATCGTCAAATCCTTTGGTGAACATTTATCGACGATTGACTGCAGCCTGTCGTAGAATTGATCTTTGGTAGGTGCATAGCATTGGATGACATTCATTGTAATGTCCTCTTTCTTTGTTTTGAAGGATGCTTTGATGATCCTAGGTCCACGAGATTTCCATCTTAACAATGCCTTTTGTGCTTGTTTGGACAGCATCAGTACAACTCCTTGTGTATGTGAAGCATTTTCCTCTTCATGACCAGAGTATAACAGCAGTTCCCCTGAAGCTAATCTCAGTTTTCCTATATGCGTCCAATGCGCTTCACTAATTCCAAGCACTTCCGGGTTGTATCTTTTCATTTCTGCCGCAACTTGAAATAGTCTTCCAGTCTCCCACAATGTACGAACGTTCCATGTACCTAAAAAAATGGTTGCTCTGGGTATCAAAAGAGGCATCGGCCCCGTGACTTCCGAGGGAACTCGGCTTTCATCACGCGACGTCATAATTCTTCTTCCAACTCTCAGGGCGGAGTCAAAATGGTTTGAATTATTTGTTCTCCTTAGCGTGGTGGGATGGTTCACCAACCCCATGCCCAATCCTCCTTTATCCGGCTTTGGACCGGCAGTAGCCCTGAAGGTCTACAGGCGGAGTGATGTGACTCCGATAAGGAAACTTTAATATTTTGATCGATCCTTTGGGAATACGACATTGGCCAAAATTTTCTGCACATGCATACTTGATACATAGAATATTGACCAGAATGTTTAAGTAAAGTGGTACGATCTCATTGTATGAATGCATAGCATCCGACTGACAAAATTTTATCTGTCAATTCCAGTGATATTTTCTTCTTTTTATATGACACTGTTTAGTGAACAAATCAAATTTTTTTCAACCAAATCCATACAGAATTAAGTGTTCTGTTTATCTCTATACTATCAGACATTTAGACATAATAACAATGATATTATGCGCATTATAATATTGAATCAACAATAATATTTTCATTTATGGTCTAATAATCAACGCATATCATAATGCTTATCTTTAGATTTCATCCGTTTATCCTTTACATGATCTTTCCAATGTTCACATGCTTAACTGTTTCTTATCATACCAAGTAACTATGCAACCAATTACCAACTTCCTTACCTTTAGATAACCTCTTATATCTTCATTATAAATATTCATAAAAATAACACCTTTCGACTCTGCGTACGACTTTCCAACACATAAATACGCATTGATCTTAACTGCGTTTATTTCTACAGTTTTCGTCCTTTTCTTTTTATGATTAGCATTCTGGTTATTAAACATTTGTTATTAATTGTATCAATTATTATAATTTTTTATGCTAAATCCAGTTGATGAAAGGTTGTGAAATGGAATGAATTTACTTCATTTTGAAAACCTTATGGTTGTTGTTCCACTGTTTGAATTCATTGATATAATTTTAAGGTAATCTTCATCAGAAGCTGATATCAATTTAAGAAATACTAAGAACCAGAAGATCTTAAACCAAGCAAACATCTATGATCTCTCGTTTTTACATTTTTCTAATTGTCGGTAGAGCAAAGTCGGAACTACCTTTATATTCTGAGTTCACTTGACAAGCCAGATGGAGAAAGACTGAAAATAGATATTCCTTTAGAATATCCTTTTCTGTTGTCATAAAACCATGATTCATATATATATATATATATATATATATATATATATATATATATATGGGATTGCTGATTCCTAAGAATATAAACTAGCGAACTGTAGACCATTTTACGATTCTTCAGAGGGATTTTTACTTAGGATGACGATTAAAATAGTTAATATGAGTTCAGTCAGTCAGTCAGTTACAACGTGGAACTTCGTACATGAGTTCATAAGTTCAGGTTGTCAGATCGCATTAGCACAGAGACGCAACTGTCAGTTCAAAACCCATAATGGTAGATGTAGTAGGAAAATTAGAGGGAATGGACAAGATTAGGGTTCGAAGATATGATTTGAAAAGTTAAATTCAGTGAGATAACTTTAGAAAGAGAAACAGAGATGATGAGGAATTCAGAAGGTTAGAATTTGAGAGAACACAATGAATGAATGAGTTCAAAATATGCAAGACCATTCAAGGGACAATTTTGTCTAGGTAAGTCTTATTAGCACAGAATCACAATAAATACCTCAACAATTAACTGATCACAATTTAAAAATCCACAATGAATTTTTATGTTACAATGAAATACGGTTAACTAGTCACATCACTGAAACACTGTGTTTATTTATTTTGAGCCTAAAATTACAACAATAAATCAGGTTGACCAATCAGATGAGACTGTAGATTGGGTAAGTTGGGATTTTTATTCCTATTGGTTATTAAAGTTATTTTACTTAAAATAGTAGGACTGTAATCAAATCAGATATAAACTTTAGTTTGTCATTATTTTCAAACACACATAAATACAATTTGTGATTTAGACAAACAATTCACATACATAGCTGTTCATTAATAACTGCCAGCGACTACAAACTATCGTTCTAACAACCATACTGATCTAGCAAAGTCCAGTGATTGTTACTATTACATTACACAATCCAGAGGAACAAGTTAATCATTGGGACAGTGAAATTTGTTTCTGATTTAACAAGTATCTGATACTAACTCAAACAGGTGCTTGTACAACCTGTTCAATGGGATAAAAAGTACACTATTATTAAAGTTCACGCACTATTTTCATGGCCCTGAATATTGTTGAACCACTACGGAAATTAATAGCACTACTAATATCAACGAATCTTTTGACAACCACATCAACAAAAAACTCTCAAAATATATTCTTCACACTTATTTTGTAATTAATCATGTGTGTCCCTTAATGTTTAATTAGAGGCAGAAAGATTTTTTAAAAAAAAGACGATTTCATCAACAAAACACAATTTTCTCAAATAAACATTTAAATTCAACTAGACAAACTTACATTTCCATATCATGGATAATCGTGGAAGAAAGAAAATTAAATCAATCACTTGTTTAGATGACCAAATCAACACCACTGCTTCTGTTAATCACAATAAACAAAACAATTGTGACAACACTGCTAATAACACTGATAATATGAATAGTAATAAAAGTAACAATAAGCATTTTACAACATCATCATCTTCATCTGCATCATCCCCGCGATCGAAAACATCAAGAACAACAACACCAACAGCTACGACAACAACAACAACAACAACGAATAATCCCGCTCGACAAACTACAAATACGTCAGCCCATTCCACATCATCATTATCTTCTGATCAATCAACATTAGTAACAATGAAAACAAGTCCCAGTATTGATGGTGAGAATAAAAATGGTCAACTAGCAAAATCCTCATCACCATCATCACAGAACACTAACAATACAACTAAAGTGAATGATAATAATCATAGTTTTTCATCAACTGATTCTGGTCGTAGTAGCATAAGTAGTAGTCAAACAAGCAATGGTGAAGAAATCACTGAGAATAATTTCAATAAAACAAAAGTTAATGAATTGACGGTAACCAAAACTGATATCAGGTTAGATAATCATAAATTAGATAGTGGTAGTAATAGTAGTAGTAGTAATGCTAGTAGTAGAAGTAATCATGATAACATTATTGATAGTTCACCGTCTGCTGTAAGTGAATTGGATATCTATTCTGATGTGACTCTTATACCCAAATCAACTGTGACCATAGATTTCCCTATAAAATCAGGTAAAAAATCTACCAAACGTGTTAATGGACGTAAACCGGTCAAAGGAATTAAAACATCTACACGACATAGTGTCGGTAGAACAAGACAAGATGAATTGGTGAGTTGAAATTAAAATTACTGATTTTGTAAACTTATTTTTCATATTTATGTATTGAAGAAAGCGATTTCATTTGATTATTTGTTATTTTTATTCAAAAATATGAAGATCGGTAGAAAATAATTTACGATTTACTTATTTTTACAAAGTAATACTCTAAGGTTTTGCGTTTGAAAAGCGATCATATAATATGCACATATATATCTTCAATTGGTTATATACTAGGCCTAATTAAACTGACTAGTCATTTTGTTATCATGCTTTTTTGATAGGATTTGATTGCGTTCGCATGCTTATATCTTCGTGTAACTAATCTCAGTAATTTTGTAAGTTTATTTAAAATAGAAAGTTTCAGATTCTGGATTAGATGAATTAGTGCAAAGCGGATTAAATGTGAAATATGCTAGTAATATTCATTATAGAGTTCACACACTTTTAGTAAATGGGATTTAGTGGATTATTGTGGAGTATTTTGAATTGTCGCTAGAAATATAACCCAGGAAGCGAGTTTCATATTATTTGAGACTCACCAGTTGACTATACTTGTATTAAAATGTTGACAATCGAGCTAAGACCTGTTTAAAAGTGCCTATTACCTTAAAACCTCAAGTTCTGTTGACTAAGCTACTAAGTCAAGATTGCTATTTAGTTGTTCGCTACATAGAAAGTTGTCATTAACGATTTTTATCATTATATTATTGATGTTCAGTATTTTAAATGACCAGTCTTATTTAACATTTGTGCTTCCTGATCGCGTGCCTCAATTTTATTCTTAAGTTATAAGTTTTTATTACATTTGGATTGTTAATATCACTGAAAACTGTTAAAGGATAATACAGGTCAAGAGCATTAGAGAAACTCTCACAAAGCAGTACTGTATTCTCTCTGTTCGAAGTAGATATCTAGTTCATAAATCGGAAAATTCTGCACTCTATATTTGAAAAAGGGAACTTCAGATAGTAAAGAATGATGAGAATATACCCCGGCAATCATTTATTTCTACTCTGGCTGTCCTGTCAATCGAAATTCCACAGTGAATGTAATTTCTGTCACTGGGTTGTTTGTCAATTACTTTCAATCGCCTAATACTGTCCAAAATGAAGTCAATGTGTACTTCGGAAGACTGGGCATTTAACCTGAAACTTTTGGAAAAGAAGTTTAAAAGCCATACCATTTTTTTTTATTACACACACCTCACTAAGTCTTCAAGACCACTTAAATGATCGACTCGAAATTCAGTAGACATAGCCGTTTTAGATTGTTTTAGCTAATAAAATTCATCGAAATATTGCTTCCACTAGTCACTATGTTTAAACGAACCATCTTCATTTTATGTGAACATAAATCCGATAAGTTTCACTCTCGTTTGAAGTTTAGTGTACCTTTTTTATTTATAATACTATTACGGAATACTTCTATAACTCACCATTACCAGAAGGTGAAACTTCATCTTGTAGGTGATCGCCTGATTACCCACGAAAGGTTTTACGTGATAAACACACTAGTCAACAATAAATGTGTATTTATATTACTATAATATAACTCTGCTTTCAGACACACTAATTCATGAATAGTAAATGAATTATTTTACTGTTATGACGGAAAAAATAATTATAATCGTCCTGCCAATGTGTATACATGTATACAGATCTGCTTGCAATTATGCAACCATTACATAACTATAATTATTTTTGATAGGACCTTTGCAGTCTCTACCTATCGATTAAAGAAATACAACGAATACCTATTTTAATATAACTATTTTGAATATTAGACACCGAAAGAATTGATTTCTTACTTAAAAATCAAATTCAATCAATAACGATTGATTCAACCAACATTCAAATGAACTGATTTCTATTGAACTGTATTTCAGGTTCAAGATTTAACGGCTAAGATTTAATCAGTTCATAAACTCTTGATTATATAACTTTAATCGTCTGATTATTATTTTACTATATAATTTTCGAATAATGAAATATGATTGAACTTCAAACGTAACAAGTGCTATTAAAATTTGGACGGAATATGTATTTATTTGTATCAAGGACGTTTTTGCTTACAGAAGTTTATTCACGATTATCAGAAATAACTATTTAGTGATTTGTAACACTGAATAAATCGAGGGAAATTTTTTATGAAAGGGAATGAGCATAGCACCACTGTAGGCTGAGAAGTATACATCAAGTCACGGAACTTTCTACTAATCAACTTAAAGTTCAAGCAGTCTTACAGATGTTGGAAATAGGATATTTAAAGGTCTAGTTTTAGAAAATAAACATCTTTCAAATTAAATTTTTACAAACATTTTGAAAGATGTTCTATATAGACATTGATAAAAAACTAGGGCAAACTGAGAAGAACTGACACCTGAACAGATATATATATATATATATATATATATATATATATATATATATATATATATGCTTTCAATTTAGAAATCACTGACCGTTCGATTCTTGAACAACTTCATTTTACTATAAATTATTTGTCCATACATGTCCATTTAGGCCTTAAATGCTCATTATATGTGTATAGCTATTTCTGATAGAAAGCTTTGAAGAAAAATGCTCATTTTTCTTTGCAAGTCCTGCCCAATCGATTGATTTCGATATAAAATGAAAAATGGTAAACATTTAAGGGAGTGGCATAGTACAAAATAGGTTTATTCATAATGAAAAGAAACTATTGCAAATACAATTTCTTACTAGTGTAACAAATTAGTGACTTAATTTTTAATGTTACTTATAAACTATAATGATTCGATGCATAAAAAATTAAGCTCAAATAAAGTTCTTGTCATGTGATTTACATTACTTTGACTAAAAAGATTTAAAAGCTTTTTTCATTAAGATTTTACATTAAGGTAAACGGAAAATGTGACCGGAATGAAATAGAAATTACGAATTTTAACATTCTGATTTATATTTTGAATAAAAAAAGAACAATTAATGTAACAGAACAATGCGAATTCATTTTCACCGTTTATCATCAACTGCCTAATACCAAAACATCATAGCGCTGATCATCGAAACAGGCATACATACTTTATATCATATTTGTTCTGTGGCTGTGACTATTAATTCTAAATTCGTATTTGATCTGTATTCAGCTGGTCAGTTTTGTTTTAAGAGTTGCATAACGATAACATTATTATCTTATATCTAAACAATTCTTTTTCTATGTTTGTAGTTGTTTGTTTCAAACTATTCTTAGGTTCAATCTATGAATACTCATGTCATTTAACATTATAAATATGATCACTTATAGTCCTTATTGCTCTTTGATTACTTTTCACAGATGAAAACTTTATATATATTATATGATATATGATATATATACATATGATATAAAGTATGTATGCCTGTTTTAATGATTAATACTATTGTGTATAGGGATTAAGCAGTTGATAATAAAAAGTAATATAAAATGAGTTTATATTATTCTGCCAAGTTAACTGTTCTTTCTTTATTCAAATATATTAAAAAGAAAGACTGCATGAAATTACTAATTCATAGTTACATTTATATTTATTACAGAGATATTGTTCTTGTTAGTACTGTCCACCACGACTCAAGTTTACTGTATGTTGACTGACGTATACATCAATCTTAATTATAACCCCTTTTTGGTCACTGAACTTAAATAGTTTATACAGTCAATCTCCATTATCAACAAAATCCAGTACTGCTTAACAGAGAAAATTAATCAGAAAATATCTGCGGGATGATAAGAATAAACCAATGGCTGTTTGATCCAGGCCTATTGGAATGTGAAAACGTTCTACACTAGGTTTCCGGGATATTTATAGTTTACAATTTGAGACCCTCTAAATGAAACACTAACACTGACGTAGCTGTTTTCATTATCAATCTTCCTTAAAAACCTAAAGTGTAATGTGATAACACAATTTAATTTTGGAGCTCTATTTTGATTACTCTGAATGAACAATCTCATTTTTTGCGACTCAATCTAATTTCAATCTTTTGATTTCTTTTAATTGTATTCATGAGAAGCCTAGCCACTTGTCCATATGCCTATTGATTTCAAACCCAATATGATTAGGGCTTGAATGAATTTTTTCTCGTTAAATACTCAAAGTAAAAACAACTCAAGTTTTTAAATTCTAAAGTATCATTATTGAATAAGTTCTCTAGACTGTAACCATGTGATTAGACATGTAAACTAGAAAAAAAAACGAACTTTCCACATGCTTGAAAGTAGCAGCAGTAGTAGTAATAATAAAACCATTTCATTTCAAAAATCATATGACTGCTATTAATTTCAGTAAATATCGTGTGTAAATTATAGCTTAAATGAAATGTATTTAAGGGAAAAACATGGTTTGATTATTCAATAAATGATATGATTCTGTTTAATAATAGAATAATCATTTATTTAGACCACCTGCTATGTTATCTGTACATATCAATGAAATGAAACCGAATTACTATTTCAGTAACTATTAATATAGCTCATATTTTTATTCATTAATTTTATAAGCTCTAATATGCTCGCGTTATTAACAGCAGATAAAATGAATAATTTGAAATTATCATACTCTTCGTCATTTGATCTTTATAGTTATTTCTCTGTAACGGTAAAAACTATGTGAGCACATTTCCGCTTTACCCGTTACATAACTCTATACTGCGTCAAAATGAACACCTTCAGGGGTAGCTGAATTGAAGATATCGTTCAACTGCTGAAATTCTAATTACATTCAACTGGTGAATATATGTGACCATCATTTGTTTCTAATGTAAATAATCATTTGAAACCGTGAAGCGCTGAATCGATTAATTACAGTGATATCTTGCCGTCAGATAGTTTAAATTATCCTTTGATCAATTGATTTTGATTTGTTTTTAGGTGATATAAACCATATTCATCAAAATCTACTGATATTTAGAATGAAATGTGACATACAATTCAATAACTCAAAGAAAAAAGAGAATATTGTAGCATATGTTTCATATATTTTAGGATAAACGATT